ATCTCAATTATTAGAAGCTCTTTGTTAATAAACAAAGCAATTTGCTTTGTTTATGAACAAAGCAATTTCTTGAATAAGCTGGTTTTCCACATGCCACTGCACTATATTGTGTAGTTTGTAAGTGCATCATTACCTTTGGCATCTGCAGTTAGGAGGATAAGTTCGACAAATGGAAAGATTGAAAGGAAATCCAGGTGTGTTAACATGTATGCTCTTGCTGTGATTATGACTTTAAATGAATTGATCAGATTAAAGCATTAACAAGAAAAGTTAGGACTTAAAATACTAATTTAATACTAAATATATAAATGTAGGGTTAGGGGTAGGGTATTCTGAGTTGTTTGTTTGGGGAAATTCTGGCTACAGCAAACATGATTTATAGTAAGTAAAGTTAGGTAAAAAAGTAGGTAAAAACTTAAGTGCTAAGTGCACAGCAAAATGAAAAAGAAGCACTAGCATAATTCAGGCCTAATAACTGCTGCATAAATGTTTGCTAATGTGTTCATATTTCTTTGAGCTGTCTCCAATACATTGAATTTTCCAAAAGCCACGATGCTAGTGTTAAATAAAGTACTTAAATGTAAATTAAAACAAATGTGCCCCTCATTCTACACTATTTGACTTATGTCATGAAAGCATGGCTTCATATTTACAGCCACCCAAACTGTTAAGTGTAAAAATATATTGTGTTATTCACCAAATACCAAACACAGCTACAAGTTACATTATTCTTTAACTTACATATTTAACACAAAAAGCCAGAACTAACCTATTCTACCCACAGGCGGATTTCTTTCATGTTTCATTTCCACGTGGACAGTGAACAGAGTCTTGCTAGCTGGGAAATCCCGATTCCCATAGAACAGAGTGAAATACGACTGTGACTAAAGTGTCACGACAAAGATCATAAGATAGTGTCTCTTTCACAAACACATGATGCACTGTATTCTAAAACAATGTCACAGAAAATGCAATATTCCCTTTATTTTGTGTAGAGATGCATCCGTAGCTTTGCGACGTAGTTGTGTTCTATTAAGAGCCTGTCTTAAATGGCTATTTAATGATGATGTGTGTGCATACTTCAACAGCGTACGAGTGAAGATAGAGAGAAAAAATAAATAAATAAATAAAGCGAAGGGATTCAGAGGAGTGAAAGAAAAGAAAGGACAAAAGGGTGCACCGATTGTAATCGGCCGATAATGGCTTCAACTAGTTTGATTGGTGGTCGCTAAAAAGGCCGATAAGAAAAGCCGATCAAATGATGCAATACTCGCCAGACAAATTTTCAACGGCAGCTAAAATGGTTTCATTACACGTCCAAGCAGTTTTCAAAGCTAGCTAGCACCAAAGTCCTTTTCAGTCAGGAAGCGATTGATGCGCCCAGTTAATAATTTACAATGAGAGCTGAGCAGCAATCAGACAAGCGGAGCAACAAGCAGGAGCGATCATGTGAAACTGTCGCGGTCATGCTCATCTCACACACACGCTGCCCGCAATCAGAGTTTCACAGTCTAGACACTCAGGGAGAGAGACTGATCCTTCAGTGCGAGTTTCCTGATGCAAAGAGAGGCGCCATGCACTTAATCAGCTGACTGCCCCCCTCTCTCTCCGTTTTCGTTATAAAACGGAGAGCTTTTGCTAGGTTTCGACCTCCCAGATTAAAGAGGTGGTATTATGGTTGTTGGCTTTTTCCCCTCTCCTTTATTGAGTTTATATCTTTTTTGTGCATGTACTAAGTCCAGCCCAAAGGGAGTTCCCATCTCCCACAGAAAACTCTGCTCTGAACTGCGTGAAAACAGCTCGTTTGTAGTCCAGCTTTTACTTCCCTTTCTTGTGACGTCACAATGCAAATACGTGTCATAATGCTCGCTGAGCGGCTAGTCCTCAAAAACACCGGTGGAAAAACACTCTGCAGCACAAAGCTCTCCTCTCCCTTCCAAACACTATCTACCCTCCAGGCAGTCATTGGACATAAAGTTGTTACTGTGATGTAGAGACAGAGCTCAGTTAAAAACTTTATGGATGAAAGACACTTTTGTTACAGATTAATAACTCACCACTCTGAAACTCTTGCTCCAGTCCATGTTGCCAAGCTGGTCGGCAACATGTAGCCTACAGCTGAATCGAAGCTGTTTACCGTCTTTTCGCTGACCCGCCCTTCTCTGCTTCTGATTGGCTAGTAGTCCTTAACTAGGAACTGAGCATGTGCAACTCCCAACAAAGATCATTTAGAGACAAGATGTATCACTCCATAGCTAAAACGAAGCCTTCAACACAGGGTGAAAAGAGGAGCTGCAGCAATGTGCAGTATGACAAAAAATATGGTGTTTTTTGAAAATGCAACCATGTAAACCTGTTCTGGTACAACCCATAAATAGGATTTTGACCTGAAAATGAGCAGAATACCACCTCTTTAAAAACGGCGAACCAGAATATGTTTTCTTTGAAAACGCTGCAGACCCGGTGGGCAAAAACAGAGAACTTTATAAAACAATGACACAGACACTTACATTTGGCTTTCTGATTCGGTCTTGCAAGTCAGTCATGCAAAGCAAAACACTGCTACTGACAGAGTTCTGGTTTTTCGGTATTTTTATTAAAATATACGTACTTTGTAAATAACTCTTAGCAGTTAGCCTACTGTGCATGTCGCTGTATTTACTTTGCGACGACTCCCACTCTGTTTTCCGCCGCCACTGTATCTTTGTACTCCCATGTGAAGTAACAGTTCCACTTCCTTGTCAGTCGTTGTGGTTATTCATCTATTTTACTTTCTTCTTTTGCCAAATGTTCTCCCATATTTTTCCATTCTCACCCGGTATCCTCCCATTTAAATGTTTCCCTGTAAGTCTCCCGTATCTTTAAACCTTTATAAAATCAAATACTCTCTCCTCTGGTAAAGCCGGTGGCAGTAGGCCTATGTATAAGATATAGACTGTGCTACTTGCACAAGGAGTAAATAAATAAAAACAACCCACTGAAATGATATAAGGCCTATAGCCTGTAAACCATATGAAATTATAATGAATATAGTAACTATAGGTAATATTAACAGTATAATATGGAATTATCATTGTACTTTTATTTATTAGTTATGACTCCTCTCTGTAGCCCCCTCTCCCTCTCTCTACCCCCTAAAGCCCCCAAAAAGCGGCTACTTCAGAGTTTATCATCGACTCAGGACGCCTATGCTCCTTCATCTCCTAAATATTTTGGCTACAGCATTTTTTGTTGCAGATTTTATAGTTGAAGGAAATTTATAAAGATGCTGTTTGTTTTATTTTTGTAGTTTATTCCACAAGAAAGCTATATTTGTTAAGCTATAAGATGTTCACAGTAACCAGGAAAAGGCTGCTCTGATTTAAGTCTAAGACAGAGCGGAATTTGTTGCCCATGTTTCCTGGCAAAAAAATAAACAGTTGTCATTTCATGATACTTTATCATCTGTTAATTTTAATACATTGTTTTAGGGCTAATTAAATAAATATACAGTATATTGTATAATGCTACATGACAAATAAAAGGCTTCAAATAGACCCAGCGATCAGTGATCGATATCGGCCGATACTGCTTTCAGCAATCGGTGATCGGCCAAAAAAAAAAATACTGATTGGAGCACCTCTAGACAAAAGTAAGAAGATGTGTGGCTCAGGGAGACAACAAAACAACGGAGATCAAAGCAGGAAACGTATCAGAAACAGGCCCCATCAGCTTGTGTTTATACATATATTTAAGAAAATTTAAATTAATATCGTTATTGCAATATATTGTTCAATATCCCAATATCACAGTTTGGCAATATAGTGCAATCCTACAAAAAAACACTGTTGTTGAGTTGTAAGAAGACTTAACCCCCCCACCCCCACCGCCTCCCCATGTCATCGATCTGCTTTGATCTCCGACAGCATTAACCAGCCTGACTTTGGGAGCGGTCGACAGAGGAAACTTCATATAGTGTGCTTTGATGTCTGCAGCCTCATATTAAATAATAACACAGACAAGGCTTTATTAACTGCAGCCACTGCCCATTGTAAACTCTGATGGAAACTCTATGTAATGTGTGTGTCACTGCAGGGCAGGGCCATTATGTCAACCCTAGCGTAAGCCGTCAGATGCGTTACTGCATGCAGATTTTGCCATAGGTACACACAGACTGCTCCCTGTCGCAGCAGCGGCGGCAGCAGCAGGAGAACGTCTCTCTATTTTTCCATGAGCCAAGTTGGTTGCCAGGGTTTTTGTTTCCATGGCCACGCTGCAGTCTGATGCAACAAAAACCCACCCAGAACCCCCCTTGGGTGCTTTGGCGCGATACCAACCCTGAGAGAGCTACAGCGCTATAGGCTGGCACCCTCACTGACTGACTGACATCTCCAGTCAGCCACGGTGCCAGCTGAGCTAACACTATACATGACCCCAACCTCCTTCAACAATCACTTACTGACTGGCAACGGTTTGTCTCGTAACATCAATGATTCAGCTATTTATTAGTCTTGATGCATCTGCAGAAAAGTTTTGGACAGGAAATTACTTCTAATGCTTGTGTGGTGCCCGTATGGGTTTTCCTGTTAGTTTTTCCAGGGTCAGGGACTACAGCGCCTTTGGGAAAACATGAATATACTTAGAATTTTTAAATGAGTGGACAATAATAATGAGTTAGATTTGTGAATTGGACCACTGTGTGTCTCTTTGCAGCCTGAAGCAGAAATCACATGACACTAGCTACTGTATCAAATATCATAAAACCTTCAAGTGTAGAAGACGTATTATTGACAAGAGAGGGGAAAAACAACTCTGTCCTCTTTTGTAACAACTGATGCAAGTTAAAATGCACTAAATTAAGTGCTTATTTTATCTGAGGTGTAACTGTAACAAGAGCAGAATGAGGTTGTCGGAGAAAATGAACTCTGAGAAACAAATGAACCACTGCCTGAAATGCATCACCATCATGTCTCAGTGGACGACGTAGCAGGTGACAGTGTCTGAGCAGCAGGTTGTCCTACCTGGGTTGTTGGCCTCTCCCTCCAGGACCTGCAGTTCGGTGCACTCGGCGAGGGAGTGCTCCAGACAGAGCTGCAGGAAGCGGGCCTGGGTCCGGCTCACCCTCTTCAGCAAGGACAGCAGAGCCACCGTCTGCTCACACTCGTTCCACCCCTTGAACCAGCTGGCAAGCACGCCCACCTGATCGCGAAACATCATGGTCTGCGAGACGGGGTGGAGGGCGACTGGTTGTGGTGGTGCCGGGCTGGGCTGAGAGGTACGGGGAGCAACTCACAGAGAGCGACCTCTCCCAGACTTTAAACTGTTGGTTTGGGTAAAACTGATGGAGGATGGCGGTGGTCTTTTCAGCTGACTGGTGATGTTTCTGTAAGCAGGGAGGTCAGTCAGCTGGGGAGGATCAGCTGAAGCACTGTGATGCCATTCTTAGCGTTGTCGCCAGCTGGGACAGCAGTCTCTGTTAGGCTTTCTGGTGCTAAAATTTGTTTCGCCTGCAGCCGGTGCTGAATATATTCCTGCTGGAGGGGTTTCTGCACCGTCTTCTCCTGTCTGATAATCTCTGTTAGAGTATGTGTGTGTGTGGGGGGGGGATGAGGTGCTCTTCTAGCTAGGCATTAGGTGATATGAGCTGCTCTGTGCTGCTTACTCGCTCCCAGAGGGATTGATATTTTGATGAGTCAGCTTTCTTCCAGTACACTCTGTGTCACATCAGCTTCAGCCTCACTGGCATTTTTTCTTCAGGGAATCCCTCTTAAGCCTGCAAGAGGATGTTAGAAGTTAGGAGGGGGGAGAAGGAGAAGAAAAAAAAACACACATTTAACAGACAATGCTCTCTGTGCTCGCTTTGTACACGTCTCTCCCTCTCTTTCATAAATATGCAATGACTTTTACAGTGCACTAGAGAAGAATGCGACAGTCTCCCTGTTGCTTCAGCTCTGCAGACTTTGTGCTGCTGCTGCAATACGAACAAAAAATAAATAATAAATAAAAAAAAAAACAGCCTTCAAAAACTCATACATGCATTTATTGGTCGCCTCCTCCCCGTCGCCTATGTGCATAGGCTTGTGGCATTCACCGCCGAGACAAGAATAAATAATTTTCGTTTCTTGGTATCCACCCATTCCTAAAAATACAGCTGTCGGTAGTTCTGGCGCTGCATCCCAGAATTTTCCAAAGGAAGGACGCCGGGTTACCGACGGCGGCCGCTGGCAGGGCTATGTGCTGCAGAGACGTTAGCAGCGACTTCCCTCCGTTTATTTAATGACAGGTTAGGCTTATAAACCTGTATTTTAAGCAGAGGATAGGTTGTAGTGGCGAGTTTTTGCCGAATGAACACCGAAGAGTAAGCTAGGAGCAGACTCCGGCTGAGCGTTAGCCGCTGTCTAAAACTGTCACTTTGCTTCATCAGCACACAGGGAATGTCCGTTGGCGGATATCTGTGTGCGTGAGCAGTTTGTACAAAGAAAAACGAGTAAATATAGCCGTATATCTAAACTTATATGCCTTTATCCCTTTTTTCCTTATCTATCCAGAACTTCCCCGTGAAAGAGTTGTGTAACAGATGTGACTTTCACTTAAGTTAGCTAACGTTAGTAAAGTTGGCGATAACGACTAACGTTGACTAACGTTAACTGACATTAACGGCGATGGATTCCCAGCGATGTAACGTTAACCGTTGCCATTAACGCAAATTTCAATGTGAAGGCAGGTTAAGGTTAACTTAGGCTGTGATTCTTTCTAGGATAAGTTAACACATTTAAGCCGAAAGGGACAAAAAAAAAAAAAAAACAACGAGAGCAAACAAACGAACTAACTAACTAACAAAAAAAGATAGAAACTTCAGTTTGAATATTTGAATTGTCAAACGTTTAGTTAACGTGAAAGTGTAACCGAGCTTAACGGTTCTCACCTCCTGGCGCAGTTTGCATCGTTGGGTTTGTCTCAGGACGGGCGACAGGCTCTGGTTTTTCTGGGGGAGCGGTGCCCCTTCACTCCGGGTCTGCGGGATTTGCCATCTTGACTAACTTTTCCTCTGACTCTCCCCAGCAGACGGGCTGCTCGGCGGCTCTGGTCTAACAGCAGCACGGTCAAGCTAGACGGAATATAGTGCGTGACTTCCGGTTTAAGCTTTCAAAATAAAGAACTGCAGTGCGGCGGAGCCCGATCATTTCCCACAGAGAATTGTAGAGCTAAGTTATTACTAGATTATTGCTTTTTTTTTGCTGAGCAACTCCCACAACAATGCAATTTAAAAAAAAAAAAAGACATATATCATCACATAGCTTGTAATATATATTATTGTAAAATACTGCTTATAGCCATTCCATGTCAACCATACCAGCAATCGTTATTACTATTACTTTCAAATTTACTACTACTATTTATCATAACATTTCTGTTAATAAGTAAAATACTGTACATATCCACACCTTAGTATATGATCCACACTGATTTATAATTATATTTTATAGTTCTATCCATTCCATGTCAACCCTACTAGTACTATTTTACTATTACTTTCTAATTCACTACTACTATTTATAGTTAGATTTCTGGTAATACTTTAAAATACTGTATATATCCACACTGATTTTTATTAATAGTTCTATCTATTCTATGTCAACCCTACCAGTAATCATTATTACTATTACTTTCTAAATCACTACTACTATTTATCAAGACATTTCTGTTAATACTGTAAAATACTGTACATATCCACACCGCTTTATATTTAGATTTTAGATTTAGATTTTTAGTTTAGTATGTTTGTTATATTTTCTTCTTGACTACTTTCTGTTATTATTTGTATTCCGTATACCTTGATATGCAAATGAGCAATTTGGTAACAAGAAATTTGTGAAACTGTGCCTCTACCTTTTTTCTGTACAGTTTAACGCTTTAATCAATACATTTTTTTTTGCATTTTTAACTATTGTTAAAAGCATGAAATGGTATTAAATTTGGTGAAGAGCACATTATGACTTGTTTAGGACTCGAAACTCAAAGTTTAGGACTTGGGACTTGACTTGGAACGTGTCGATGTTGACTTGAGACTTGACTCGGACCTGCTTGTCTCAACTTTGGACTTGACTTGGGAGTTGAGTGCTAAGTCTTGAGACTTGTTTGTGACTTGGTCCCACCTCTGCCAAAAACTGTATGAAGAAAATTCTTTAAATTTGTTTTTTAAAATTACAATGTCAGACATAAAATTTCTAAGTTAAAGATTGAACTTTAGATAAAATAAAGACAATGATGGTCAAACAGACATGCTATACATCTGCTTATCATGTTTTTATTTTTATTTTTTTTAACAGTGCACTATATATATTTTTAAAACAAAACAAAATACACGCACTTACTCTCACTATTTTGGTGTTTATTGCGGTGTTCCAATCTCCAAACAAAACTTATTTTGAAGGCAGGATCGTGTAACTTCCGGCAGCGTTACGGCCGCCTTGGCCCAGAGAGGCTCGCGCTGCTCTTTTCCACATGCTAATCATTAACAGCGGAGCATTACGTCAGGGGCTTGGCAGCGCGAGGAAGCACCAAAATAGAGAGAGAGAGAGCGAGTCGCGGCCAGCCGACACAGAGGGAGGCAGGAGAGGGGGGGAGACCAGCGATGTAATTGCAAGAAAATTCAAGAAAAGAAGCGTTTCCACAGTAAATAAAGTCCACATCCCAACAGGGATGGAGCAGAATGTTTAAACAGTACACTGTGTTAAGCAGAGCTGCTCCTTAGTATAACTTGTAAAGCACTAGGGGGGTGTTTGTGTTTGTAAAACAGCTGTCTGGTTGTTGGTTTGTTGATGTTGTTGGTCTGATGTTTGCTGTATGACACACTATGAATTTCAGAAAAGGACTAATAAATATCTATCATCTATCAGATGTGGATATTACACTTTACACCTTTATGCTTCCAATACATTTCAGAGAGAAACATTACAATATATGGTTTCACTCCACTAAAGCTACTCACTGGTGAAATGTAACTAGGCCTAGTACATTTACTCAAGTAGCTCAACTGTACCTGAGTAGGCCTACAAATTCAAGGTACTTGTACTTTACTTTCACTTCATATTAGAGGCAACTGTTTTACTCTTTTCTATTTGTCTGATGGTTACTTTACAGATTAAAAATGTCCATACCCTTCCTGTCCAGTTAAAACAATTCATCTCCAAATTTGATGATGTTGAATTTAAAAGTTTCTGATAAACTGAAGGATAAAGTGTTTCTTTATGGGCGGATAAACTTCTCCCATTCTTAAGATAAATAAACAATTTAAAATTCACCCTTGCAAAAGCTGAAAAATACACTGAAGCTGAAAAGAGGGCTGTTTTTCTGTTTTCCTCATGAAAAGTTGACTTTTTAGATCATGAATCAGATAAAACTCCAGAAACAACTCCAACAACATTAAAACTAGAATCTGGATCAGTTTTACTGGCCATGTATGCATTCACATGAAAGGAATTTGAGTTCAGTTTTACGTTGCTCTCAATGTACATACACAGAAATATGCATACATGCAGCTAACAAAAAACAAGCTTGACAAGGTAAAGTGTTTACAAGGTAAACATTAAACTATCTGTAGTAACAGATTACTAAATATATATATGCTGAAATAATAAGGTAACTGGTTGCTTTATTCTACAGGTGAATATGAGAGTATACTGGATGCACAGTTTAGGTAGATTTGTGTTAGACAGTTACACAGGTTTTAAAAAACCTGTGTATTGAAACTATGCAAATAATTCTAATTTCTTTTATTTTAGTCCTCTATATACTCTCTCCACTACACAGCAGATATAATACTATATGCTGTGTAGATAATGGATATTTTGTACCTGCATTTCTGTACATTTACTGTGTAATATAGGTAATGTTTGAAATTATTTCTTAAAATCTTTCACATTCACATCCGTTCAGTTTTTATGTACCATATATCTGGAACAAACTCCAAAAATCCAATAATACAATTTTGCTGTAACTGTAAGTTCTTTTAAATCAAGGCTGAAGACTTGCTGCTGACTTTTATTTAATCAAATCTAAGGCTTTTGATTAATAAACTGCACTGTAACTTTAACTCTGCTGTTTTATCTTGTTTTTTATGTAATTCTTTTAAAAAATTGAATTTAAATGCATTGTTATATTTCCCTGTAGCGTTCATGTTTTATGTAAAGCACTTTGAATTGCTTTGTTGTTGAAATATGCTATAAAAATAAACTAGCCTTGCCTTAAATGCTCAGGCAAAAGGAATGCCCTGCAACTTTAAGCCCATGCAAGTATATAAAAACGAAGCCAAACAATGCACATAAACAAAATGATGAAAACTAAAAACGTTTTATGTATTATAAAAAACACTAACACTTTTTTATTTGTTAGATTAGATTTAGTCACACCACTGTATTCATGTTTTATTTTATTTTTTGTATTTTAATAAACTCTTGACTGATCACACAGTTATATTATCTGGCAGATTACACATAATATTACAGTTTTACTCACTTACTAGTGTGAAATGTGCGGGCTGTCCCTTTAAATTTTTAATTAGTATCGTTTTGCTCCACCGTGTGTCTGACTTTTGGAATTACATTATATAGATTTTAAACTGAACACCCACAAGCACATGAACATTTAAATTAACTGTACAGCTGTACGGTTATCAGCACGGTTACAGCATAGACTGTATATAAAAAGGTTTACAGATTTAAAAAAAACATTTAATGAAAATAGGCCTACTGACATTATCCTGTAGTAAAATAATTTGATATTTCAGTGTGGAAAACGTTTGCTTGTACAAAATATCCACAGCCTAATATTAAATTCTAAATATATTTGTTTTTATTTTTTTCTTTGTAGGTATTTATGTTATAGTCCATTGACGTTTACTGCTGCAGTCTAGTAGGATTTATTTTGGACATGCTGGAGGTTTCCGTCGGATTGTTTTGTGAGCGAACAGGAAGAAAATACACTTCAGTTTAAAAGCCTAATTAGGCTACAGACTTCTGGGATTCGCCTGTTTAAATGTGAACACACACCAGGAGGATCGACGTGATTACGGTATCAAGATTAAAGCTGCTGATCAATTTGTCACGTATCGCACGTAGCAGGCTTGAAATGACAGGAAGTAAATATCAGGAAGCAAAACTTCGCATCAGAACTGCCTCCACCCAGCGTGTCCTGTTAATAAGGAGGTGAAGCTCTGCTCTTACATACATACATACAAACATACATACAGAGTGTGGTGTATTTTGTAGAGGTCGCTATGAAGCTGGTGGTCTTCCTGCTGCTCCTCCTCCAGGTGTCCGGATCTGCAGACAGCAGCTGTTTCTGTCAGGTGAGCGACTCACAGTACGTGACATAAATACTATATAATAATGATAATAATAACAAACCCTAATCTTTAGTTTTATACAGCAAATTCAATATCCTGCCTGCCAATCTTCAATAGGCAACACCTGTGTGCTGTGACATCCACCTGCTGGAGCACCATGTGTTAAATGTCAAACACGCATATATGTCATACGTGCTTTTTATTTCTATGTAGTAGTTGTAGTGTCAGGATTTATGTCAAAATTGGAGGATTCCTACTTTTACAATAGGTGTCTGGTCTGTCAGATAAGAAACCAGCTAGAGCAGAGCGATGATGAACACTCATGTAATGCAGACAAATCATCAAACATCATAGGTGAACATGAGAGGTGAAAATGAACATGTAACACGCCAAATCTGTTGGTATAGAGAGTTATTTTGTTAACACACAAGGTCTTTAATGTCCTTTAATACAGAATCAGAATCAGCTTTACTGGATTCCTTTATAAGAAATGTACTTTGGTGTTTAATATTCACCATAGTAGGTAGAAAAATATAAGAAAGCTAAAGATAGAGACAGTACTGCAGGTCAAGTAATGATTAATATAAAAGTGACAATAAGATATCAAAAGATAAAAGAATAATAAATAAGATGTACAATGAGGTTGTTGTTTAAAGTACAGTTAGGGCAATACATTGTAGAAAAAATAAATTTACAGTATGAGAGTCAGTGTCAGTGGGGGTCCCGGGCCACAAACCTTCCAT